CAATCCCCCAAGCATCTGCCAATACTAACAAGATCTTCGCTATAACACAATGGTTGTACAACATGCCTTTGGCATTATTATGCACCTCATAGGATTCGAACCCGTGATCTGTTCTGATATCATATGTTAGGATCCAAGCACTTACACCAAAAGCAATTGCTGATAGAGAAGACGCAACTTATTTCTTTATAGTGTAGCAGTCAGCGCCACGTTTCGATTTAGAAAGATGTTGGTCAATGACTCAACATGTTTTCATAATTAATTCTATATAATTGTACAAAAGTTTCAACTATTTTATCCCCTCAATCTAATCGAAAAGATTTCAACCTTTTAGCGAAGATTGATTACAAAGTTAATGAAATTTGGGCGCGTCACGTTCAAGATTTGAACAGCAGATCTTCAATTAAAACGATACAGAAAATCAATCGGGATCAGATACGAAGTTTGAGTTAAATACATAACTCGGAGACATCATTAGTGTATCTTATATGTGCTAATATATGATATCTAGGCAACTTTGCAACCGAACAATCATATATAAATATAAAGATTACCTGTAGATACAGATACTTACGATCAACAGAATTAATGCTCTCGAGTGTTGGATAGCAGGCGGCGTAACGACGAGTAGATTGTAAGAGGATTAGGGTTCGATATCTGACGGGGTGTGTTAAAAAGGAAAGAATATCGAGACTTAAGATATTCAGAGTTGAGCATTGACCATCCAGATATAATTTACGCGAATAAAATTTGAACATTATAAAATAAAACCACGTCCATGATGTACAGATATCTACCAAAAACACAAAAATGCTTCGTCATAGAAGATTGGCCCAATCATACCTAATCAAAGCCCAAATGATCTGATCCACTAAGTATCGTCGATCAAAATTACCAATGTTTGCGTTATTCAAGCCGACATTCTCGAATCCGTAGTCAATCCTATTTCCGATAGGGAGGCTCCTCCCACTGCTTGGGAGCTTACGGTACAGTAATGAAAATATACTGATCATGTCGTCCTTATACCCTTATCTGATAAACTATAGCAGGAATAAAAATATGTTGTCCTAAAATTCGATGTCCACTGCTTGTCCCACAAATCAGATGAAGACGCATCATTAATTTATTTAATATAACTTTATTAATATAACTTTATCTTCTTTTTTTTGATAATATGTACTCACCAGACTGGTCGGGGACCTCAATCCCAGTCTCAGTCCCTACTGGGGAATATGATCACATACTCATTCTCGTCCCCATCTAGAAATCGGGGATTTTTTTTTCCGTTTATGCGAGACATTTTAAATGGAACGTATTAAATATAACAACCATTCGAAAATGACTTTGCTTTTGTGGAGTATCAAATATTCATATGTGAACAAAATCACAACATCATACTTAATTGTTTGATCAGTATTTTTCAGCTCTTCATGTTTTTTATCTTAAAAAAATAACAGAAATTAGAAAAAAAATATATAAGAAAAAAAATATCAAAATACTTTTTCAAAATCTAAAAGATATTAAATCGATTTCTTTATATACAATATATTTAAATATATGGGGTTGAGGAACAGAGGTCACGTTGCCCAGCCCCATCTTCTTCCCCGGTTTTTAACTTTTAGGGATCCCCGTCCCTATCCCTGACCTTAACCGGACTGGTACCGGGTTCCCAATGAAGCGGGATCATGAATCTGACCCGATAAGAGTGAGACAAAGACCGAGAGTCTTATCAGGTAAGTGAGGGCGAACACTCTTACCACAGTTAGCATTTATCAGGTAAATTGTTGCATATGATACAGTTTTTATTGACTAAAATATTACCTGATAAATAAATGATAGTATTGAATTTTACCGATAAACGTTTACTGGGTAAGTGTTTGATAAACGATCCTTAAGTCATATTTGACAACCATAATTCAGCTCATTTTTTTAGCTCATTAAAAAACTACATCTATTAAACCATAAACTAGTTTGTAAGTTAGATTTATAGTTTGGCCCGGTTGCCCCCGAGTGCGGCCCGATCAAAAATCCGAGTAAATTCTAGCCATGGTCATGTCATGGGTCACCATTTTGGCCCATCTTATTGAGTTGGGCCTCGACCCAACCTCCGCCCCCCCAAAAAGAAAAGACCTATTTTAACAGAAAAACACACCTCATTACATGCATCTATATATCTCGTGTTCTTCCATATCTTTCACGATGAATAACATTTAACGCTCGTGGCCCATGGGCCCGATTGATGATGTTCGAGGCCCGTGGGCCAATCAAAAAAAGCCTCGTAGCCCGTGGGAGCGAGAAAACCTTCTTTACACTATTTATCAGCTATATCTCAAAACCCGATCGATATTATACACTCATGATCAAACTTGATAAACCATCCCGACTTCTAGCGTAGATGCTTGCGGGAAGCTCAAAGCGTTTGCCGGGCCTCGAGAATTCCGTCTTAAGAAGTCGTACCCGAAATTTATCACGAATCTTTTCATCAAACTTGAACCTCTTTTTGCTTTCACGTAACAATGTCCTCGAATAAACGCTAACCCGGCTTCTCGGGCCTCCATTAGTTCGCGTAATTCTTCTCTCACACCCGTATCCATTTGCGGACTCTCTGGTAAAACAAACCGCACCTTCTTCTTCGGAAGTTGCGGTGAAGCCATCGTCACAGCAACCTCCTTAAGTTCCAACGAATCCGAGTATCCGTCTTCACACATTCTAATACTGCCTTCGGCGTTGGAGGAAGCGGTCCCCACAACCGCCATTTTTCCGTCGTTATCAGAATCTTCCAGTACATCACTGATACCATTACCAGTATCGGTATCAATACGAGCACCTGCTCTCTCGGTACGAATGAATTCCGCTATGCAACAAATGAGATCATTTTCAAATCCGACATCATCCATGTTGACATCACGGTACCCGTATCTCGCTATGCATCGATACAATCTATACTCCTTTGGCCCTATCCTTCCGACTAGAAACCGCTCCTCGGGCCTTACATGAGGCACGGGGACCGATTTCACACAGAGGAACACCACAACCTGGTGAAAAGCCGGAAGGTTCGTGACGAAGTGCGAGAAAATGGCGGGGATCCCCGAAACGAGCTCGGTATGAATGAGCCCGATCCCGCGAACCCGCATGATGCCAAGAGTCGGTCCCAAGCCGAGGAGCCAATTGATCGAGACCTTGTTTTGAACGTCAAACTCATACTTCTTTATCGTCCCGTAGTGCCACACAAACATGATAACGAGAAAGATGCACGAAAGGGCGACCGGGACCCACGCACCTTCACGGAACTTTATCAACGATGCCGAGAAGTAAAGCACTTCTACTGAACCAAAGAAGAACATAAACCCTAGCGCCAAAAAGACGCTTTTTCGCCAACACAAAACCATTACGAGCGACATAAGGCACGTTGTCACCAACATGACCGTAATAACCGCCAAACCTATACAAAAACGAAAACCGTTGTAGGACAGATCTGCGTACATTTCACCATATTGAAAAGGGCAAATTAAATGAAAATGCAATATATGTGTACCTGCTGCATTGCTTATATGTTTGGTGTCACGAAAACCGATCGTGACGGCCAAACAAAGGAGCATCAACGTCCAATTGATCTCCGGGATGTAGATTTGCCCGTGTTTATTAGTCGGTGACGTGTGGATGATTTTGACCCTCGGGAAACAACCCAAAGCGGAACATTGTTTAATGATAGAAAAAGTTCCGGTGATGATGGCTTGACTTCCGACAACCGCAGCCAGTATCGCGATTCCGAGAACCGGCCACCTTATTTTCTCTGCCGCAATAACGAACGACTACTTAGCTTAACTTCACATGGAATTTCCGAATACAAAAAAGCGGAAAACGATCAACCTACCAGGAACCGATACGTAGAATCCTATTCGGTAGTCGGTTTCAAGGATATGATGTTTCGAGAGATACGCAGCTTGGCCCATATAAGCAAGAATCAACGATGGGTAAACCACAAAGGTGAAAGCCATCTACAGTTTTAAACCACACAGACATGAGACGTATAAATGCATCAAAATGCAACGAAGTTTTAAATTTTTTTTATTTATCGTAAAGAAGTTTTAAAAATTCTTATTTTATACCCATTTTGACTGGTAACCTGCTGATCTTGTAACATTTGATGACATGGATACCAGATATTTTGTAGACGGGTATCTACGTCAACAAATGTTACAAGATCGGCAGGTTACCAAATTTCATATACACGGACCTGGTAATTTGATTGATTATTATTACCTTGATTGATAACTGTGAAAAATGTCCGAGATCAGCATACATAGCCTCCGAGCCTGGAACCCGAACCAAGTCAAAGAAAGTCAATTTACAAGTCAACAAAAGTCAACCCACCGAGGGAAAATAATGGTCGAGTTTACCTGTTATACACAACAAAATCCCGCCCAACGACATCCATCCACCCTTTTGCGTTTTCTTTAGAAATTTGTACATGTAATAAGGCGAGAGCGCTTGAAAAACTTGCGGGTTCCAATGAAAAATGTTGTAAACGCCGATCGTGCTAATGCAGAGGAGCCACGTTATCACGATTGGCGCAAACAAGAATCCGACACGGTGGGTCCCGTAATGTTGGAGGCAAAACAAGAGCACCAATATGATGCAAGCGACCGGGACTTCTACATCTGAAATTACAAAGTTCAGGTCATTTATTGGGCCCGACAGTATCCGAGTTACCGGTATATAAATATAGAGGAAGGTTAGAAGAAAACCCCCCAAAAAAATGAAAAACAGAGGAACACTATGGTAATCATTTATCTGGAAGGTATGCACATGTGCATACAAATTGCACAAGTAAATGAAGTTGTGTCTTGGTTTTTATGCACGTGTGCATACCAGACAAATTGCTTATAAATTACTTGTAAGCACATGTGCATACTGTCGAGATGAACGGTTACCAGGGTGTTCCTCAGTTTTTCATTTTTTTACAATTTTCGTGAACCTGGCCCTATAAATATAATATCCGTAAAGAAAAAGAACACAAAAAACCGACACAACAATCGAGTTTTGCTTTTCACTATGCAACTAGATAACTTATCGATTGAAAAACAAGTAATGGTGGGAAATCGTTTTCATAGCTTTGTGTAGAACGTAAAGGAAAACAAGACAACGACAACGATAAAAGCAAGTTGAGCACGTATCCACCATGATATGACCTAACCAATTATATAGGTAAAGACAGTTATTGTGGCCTTATCATTGTTTTTTCTGTATAGATCAAGTTAAACTGTTAATTGTTTGTTATGCTGAATAAACTGTCTGAAACGATAGAAATGACCATTTTACCCTTACCGTTCGCCCCCAAAAAAACGACTCGAGTCTCTAGCTAGTGATTCTTGGTTTATATTTTATATTTCCGTCAGTCAAACAGTTTATCTCTCCAATAATTTGCTTTCCACTTTTGGGATGGATTAGGAACCACTTGAATGACAGAAATGACCATTTTACCCTTACTGTTCACCCCAAAAGAAGTCACCCTACCCTCTAGCTATTGATTTTTGGTTTATATTTTACATTTTCTGTCATTCAAACTGTTTATTTGTCCAATAATTTGATTTCCATATTGGGATGGATTAAGAACTGTTACAATCGTAAAGTTTATTTATACTGAATAAACTGTTTGAATGACGGTAAAATGACCATTTTACCCTTGTCGACACGGGGACTCCAATACTTTACTTTATAAGGAGACTTTTCGATCGTTACGGTTCTTAATCCATCCTAAAAATAAAAACCCGGTTACCGAGCAAATCAACGATCGTAATTAACTCGTATTTTTGATCTCGATGCGAATAATTTAGAACAAAAGTTATAGTTTATTTGATGGCGATCAGATTTTATAAGATAGAAACTTTATATCTAAATGGGCCCACGAATTAATGTGTTTTTTTAATTTGAATTTGGTACCCTTTCTTTGTCCACCAACAGCACGTTTAAGGAATATTGTTTCTAGAGTAAACTACAAATTTGGTCCCTGTGTTTTGTCAAAAACAACACTTTTCATCCCTACAGTTTCAAAATTACAAGATGGTCATAATGGTTTACAAAAACGTCTGGATTTCGTCTTTTTCTTTAACGAACCTCTAAAAGATTCCGTTAAATAAGGGATTTTCGTCTTTTTATCGATAGTTTTCGTTATTTTACCCAATCAAAAACCACAGGGACCAAATCATAAAATCGATTTTGATGGGTTAAATAACATAAAAATTGATAAAAGAACGAAAATGCTTCACCTTTAACGGATTGACAAACGTTAGAGGAAGAGACCAGAACCGGACGCTTCTACAAAAACCATGATAGTCATCTTGTAATTTTAAAACTGTAGGGACAAAAAATGTTATTTTCTATAAACTACAAGGACCAATTTGTAGTTTACTCTTGTTTCTATATGTATATGTCAATGAAGTCCAGCATCTGAATAATTATAGAATAAAACCAATACTTTCCTAATCAAAGATCTTATCAGCAATTCTTTATGATTCGTTTCGAATGGATGCCAAGATTATTAGCCACACCCAAGGGTTACTCAATAGTATTTGAATTACCAGTAGAATTCATATACAAATAAAGGGTCTTTGGCCTAGCGGTATGTGAGTCATGGCCTCTTAAAGAGGTCAAGAGTTCAAACCTCACCAAATATAAGGAGGGTGTGTGAGTTTATTTGTTTTATCTGCCATATATAAATATTATATACTTCAGAAGAAATACTGAGGACAAGTTCGTTGAGAACCCTAGAAGTGGGACCACTTATTTTGTGTATTATTCATGTTAAATTTCGTGATAGATAATATTTAAGGTCATTTATTATGAATACTACATAAAATAGATGGTTCCTACATATTCTTAAAATCTTGTGTTTTTTTTGTCACGGACATTTTTTTGGGACAAAAGGGGTATATATTTGCCTTCAACATGTAGCTCAGTTGGCAAAGGGGCGAGGTGACCTTACCCAACTATAACACAGGTCATGAGTTCGATCATAGCCCCCTGCTAGCCTCAGCCACTTAATCAGCTAAAAACTGTACCTTCACATTAGTGACGGGTTCCATGTGAGGTTGGTTAGAGGTTCCGGTAATTACTTTTTTGCCCACATAAATATTATATCAACTATAAATGACGTCAGCTAGCATTCAAAGGTTTTTTTTTTTTTCGTGTTCCACACTACTTAAAAGACCCAACGGTTCTACCTAAAATGGCTTCTATTTTTCCTACCAACTATAGTTGACAAAATTTCAATATAATAAAGAGGGGTATTTTCGGGATAAGAATTGTTTCGGTTCCCACAAATTCGACAGTAAAATCGGCTTTGTAGGACGCAAAATATTTCTTAACTTTTATTATTATTTATATGACTGAAGTTTATAGGACCAAATAAACATATGTCATATATTAAAAAATTACAATAAATTTATAGAACGTTTTTTAACGGTATAATATGTTGTTAAGATACTTTTGAAAAATATTTTATTAGTTTTTTTTTATATGACATTATTTGAAAAAATATTTGTAAAAAATGTTCTTCGTACGACACTTTTCAAAAATATATTATATAAAAAAAAACTAGTTTGACTTTTTTATTTCAGTAATATCCTAAAAAACTTATTACGACGTCCAAATACATCGAGTCCTGAGTTAAATGACCATTTCCCTCATTCAAATTGGACTCCTAACCATTTCTCTCCTGGATTGACCCAAATGTCACGACTTCCGCAATATTCATGTCTGCAAAAAAACCAAAAATTCAACACAAATGTGCAATTTAGGACGGTCAGGTCCGCAATTGCGACGATAAACTGGTTGAATTTGACAATTTTTTTTGTCTTTTAGTCATTGCGAGGACCTGGGTATTCCGGATGTAGTGACATTTGAGTCAACCCGAGAGAGAAATGGTTAGGATGCCAATTTAAATGAAGGAAATGGTTATTTGAGCTAATTTCTCCAAACACATCTAAACACGTTTACTTATCTATGAAAATGTTCTCTCAAATAAAAACCTTTCTAATCTATAAAGACAGATTAATCCACACAGACAGTTTTATTCATACATGACTTAATGAAAAACTATCCAAACAGTCTATTTGGCGTCCCAAAAGCTTGTTAAGACGTCCAAATACACTTAATCATTCTATTGTAACACTTGTAATTTTTACCCATCAACCCCAATCTTTTTTTAACCATATAGCAGTCTATTAGAATATTTAGACATATTTGACTTCCTATAAAGCCAGTTTTATTGTAGTGGTATGCCAGGCAGCAGCCACTCCGGCCTTGATTTGTAAGGTACAACAAAGCAATTAAGGTAGAAGAAAATTGAACAAGGAACTTACATTGATGGTGCTCTTTTGACATTGAAAGCTCCAGTCCAGAAACAGCAGAGAAAACTACAAAAATCAAAATAAATAATATTATATACGGCAAATAAAACAAATAAACTTATACATCATTCTCATCTTTGGTGAGGTTTGAACCTTTGACCTTCTAAGAGACCAAAGACATTTTGGTTTAAAATATGAATTTTGGTGGATTTAGAGAAGTTTTTTTTACTCCAACAGGTATGCTATAATGTATACTAAAACAGAGAAAATAAGAAACAGAAGGTGAAAATCTCCAAATTTAGAGAATTATCTAAAACCCAGTATTTTAATATTTCCCACCAAAAAAATACTGAATTTAAATATTTTGAAGAGAATTTATTTTTTATTAAATGTATTGAATATTTTAATACTTTATACGTCTCAAAATAAATGTTCATAATGAAAAAAGACACGTAGTTTTAAGAAATGTGTAATTATTATATTTTTTAATAAATAAAAAAATAACTTTATCTTTATTTATAGAGAGAGAAATTTTCCCGCTTTATAATCAAGGGTAGGATGAAAAAGTAGACATTTATTTTTGAAAATAAATACTTATTTTTTGCACAAACTAAAATACTTTTTGCATTCCAGAATAAGTGTCTACTTGCAAAAACAACTGATTATTTTACCATTCTATCGTTAAATGTGAGATGGAGAAAATTTATGACTTTATAATCAAAGATAAAATTGTCTTTTTGACAAAGGCAAAAAGTAACGTATTTTAACTTGATTCCTATTTAGGTAACTTATTTCTAAAACTTCTATTTTGGTACCTAAGATGTAAAGTTTTAAACATTTAAGTACCCGGATAACAGGTTGAAGCATTAACCAGTTAACATGCCGATGTGGCGAGTGGTGAGATGAAATTGGGTTGAATAGCAAATAATACTGAGTCGGATACCACATCAGCATGGTAACAGGTTAATCTGGGTACTTAGATGTTTAAAATTTTACATCTTAGATACCAAAATGAAAATTTTGAAACTACATTATCCAAAATAGGAATCAAGTTAAAAGTACTTTATTTTTTCATTGTAACGACTATACATTCCTAAAACTGTGTGCCTTTTTTATTATGAACATTTATTTTAGAAAAGAAAAAGTAGCAACGTAAACACTTATTTGGAACAAAAAAAGCAATATAATTAATGTTATAATCTCTAAAATTAAACAGTTTTTGCAGTTAAATGTCATTTTCCTTTTATATTTTTTAACTTTTGAAACTCTCTTTTTGAAAAATAAAGAGAAATTACTTTCACTTTTCACTTTCTAACCCAAATTAATTTTTTAGCCAAACCCCGCGTAAAAGGCTTACGCACATACGTAAGGATCGGTTTCCAGCCAAAAAAATCCTTACCCATATGCGTAAAAATTATTATTATTGTTTTGTCGGAAACCAATCCTTATGCATAAGGATAAGGGGCCGTTTACTAAACACTTACTTGGTAAGTACTTACCGGAAAAATTCATTCGTAGGATGAACATGAGAAGGGTCAAGAATCTTACTGGGTAAGAGCGATGAGAATGATGGAGAGTTTTACCCGGTAAATAAGGATGACACACTTACCCAAGTAAGCGTTTTGATATACTAAAATCTTAGGCATCAAAATAAATCATAGACCATGAATTTGGGTAAAAAAAATGGCTAAAAACCGAAATTCTGATCGATTATTTTGTCAATTTCCCAAAAATATAACAAAAAACTTGAATAAAATTCCATACCGGAGATCGCCGGAGTTAAAACTCCGTCGCCGATGACCATACAAGTTCCAAGTAACGCCAAAACCAACAAAACCTTCTGCAAAATTCTGTGTTTCTCCAACGTCGATTTCAACCTCAACCCAATATTCCGACGACCGGAAACCGCCCTAATTTCATCTTTCTTATACTCATAAAGCTCTTCATCGGCGATTTGTCCGTTCGGCAAAGTGCTGATTCGAGCATGGCGGCATAACAATGTATACAAAGCAAACGTCCCTCCTTCGCCATTATCGTCTGCTCTAAGAACTATGAAAACATATTTCAAAAGCGGAATTAAAGTTAACGTCCAGAAAACAAACGATAAAACCCCGAAAATTTCTTCGTTAGATTCCGAATGTTGAATGTCTTCTGCAAAAGCACTTTTGTAAACATATAAAGGGGAAGTGCTTAAATCGCCATAAACAACCCCTAAACTTTGATAAGCTAAAATCATGACTGTTTTCCATGATTCCTTCTGCAAAATTGGAAGAAAATTGACGTCAGTTCATGAAGAGAATACGAAATTAATCATGGCTGGAGAATGGATTACATCTATTCATACCTTAATCGGATTGGGATTTTGATTTTGACTTTGATTTTGATTTGTGGATTCGATATCCATTTCTTAGAAGAAGAAGAAACTGAGCATTTTGGGGGTTTTGAAATTAATGGGATTAGGGATTGACCCAGATGGGGAAATCAAAAACCCAGATGAAATTGGTGAAGAAATGAGAAAATAATTGGGGTTTAAGAGAAAAGGTGTAGGAAATGAGCAAAAGTTATGGGAAGCTGAGAATTAGGTGGTGGTGAAAGTATGAAAGAAAGATAGTGTGTGTGTGTGTGTCTGGTTCTTTTTGGCTTAATGCTTGAGGGAGAAGGAGAGAGCTCCACTTGGTGCTTGTTTTTTAGCTCTAGATTGGAGGTGGAAAATGGACCAAATTTTAATAAGGGGTGTTTGGGATTATTTATTTAAAATAATTTATGTTGTTTTTTGTAGAAGTTTTTATTAACTTATGTGGTATTAAATCGGAGTTAAATAAAAAAAAGTTAAAATTGTAAACTGATAGTAAGCAGTTTTTTATAAGTTAATGAAGGATTAACTTATCAAAAACAGCTTATTACTGGTTTGACACCGATATAAGCAGTTTTTTTTTCTTATTCAAATACCAGAAAACAGCTTATCACCAATGCCAGACTGAAATTAGTTAAAAAACAACTTTTATAAGCAATACCAAACACACCCTAAGTTTGTGCTTATAATACTAGTTCAAGTTTGTTGTTAATGGCTTAATAAGCTTATTCGGTTAGTTATATATGACTGTTTGGTAGGTATATTAATGAGGCGGTGATTGGGCGGGAACCCAACCCCCCATCTTTGTCCCCGTTCCCATCTGGGAATTTGATCACATCCCCATCCTCGTTCCAAACAAGATTTTTTTTCCTGTTTGTGTAATTTTTTTTTTAATCAAATGCATGAGACGTTACACATGTTTAAATCTCACATTTTTCTAATAAACCCAAAGTCAAAAGAAATTTAATTTAACATAAAATAAATACATCATTATATAATAAATTAATAAATCGAAAACCAAAAGAAATTAAATTTAATCTAAAAAAATTAACGTCACATGTACCAAAACATATTGAGTATTATCCAAAACCACAACTAGTAATATCCATAATATATTAAAATAGAAATTACCATTTACCGATTTAATAAAAATAAATCATATATAATATATTTATTAATTAATATATATATACAAGTACAGGACGGGACTGGAAGGGGAGTGCGAAACCGTCCCCGTCCCCAAGACCCGGTTTAATGGGGAACCCCGTCCCCAACCGGGGTGGATGGACCGGGTTCCCCGACGGGTCGAGGACAATTCTCATGCTTACTATTTGGTAATAGCTTAATTATATAGAAAATGATTTATTCAATAAACTTTTATGGGTACTTTATACAGAGCGTCAAGTTTTTTTTTTTTCTCAAAATATGTTTCTCTCAATTAAAAAATCATGATCCTTTCATCTAGGAAAAACATTTTACAAACAAAAAACCTACATATTCATACAGACAGATTAATCCACACACACAACTTTATTCATACATGATTTAATGGAAAAAACAAAGCAGACGGTCATTTAGCAAGTTTGTGTAATTTTATTCCAATAAAATATACACCGTTCGTCCAAAAATAAGTGTCTACAGTATTATTTTAGGTATGGTTTTGAAAGGCAAGACAATAAATGTTCAACTTCAACAGTAAATGTTTAATTTTCATTCAACTTTAATTATAAAAAGGGAAAATTACTTTTTCTATAATTAAAAAAAATGACTTTGTATTAATTAAAAAAATATTATAATTATATATTTTTAAAATTATATATCTTTTTTTACATTTAAATATTCATATTAATGAATTTACTTAATTAATTAAATAATTATTTATTTTATTGGAATCTATTAACACAATGTTTTGTGAAGTATATAGGTTTGGCCATTGTTGGGGGTGCTTTTTCCACATTTATTTGATGGATTTATATGGTCTCCCTTAATACCCTCTAGATTCTTGTAAATTATTTCTTGAAATTATATATAAACCAAATAATTTAGTAATAAATATTCAGTTAATTTGATTCTTATTTTTGAGTAATGTATTTTTAATCTCAGGGCGACCATCTGCTTTGTAGATAGCCCAGAATCACCGCGTTTGAACTCCGTGGCCACAAGAAGATTTTTATTCCTCCGTGTCTTAATATTTTAAGCTTTTAATGAATTGTTTGAGTTTGAGCTTAATAATTTTCGAGTTCATATATAAAATAAAACTCGTTTTAATGTCATGAGTCAAGCTTCAACACCAACGTTCATCACGACCGTTTGAAAGCTCGTAAAATGACTTATTACCTATATCATACTGAAATAAGTTAATAAGAAGCTTGTATAAGCAATCTCAAACACTCCTAAGGATAAAATGAAAAAAAAAAAAGGAAAAAAATATATTTGTTTTTAAAATAAATAATTTGATTATATTTTATGTTTTAAAATGATTATAAATTATTTAAGTTTTCTATTTAAATATCACATTGTCTTTTTGTGAAAGCTTCCAATTGCCACTTCAAATATTAATTGCATTAATTATGGTTAATTAATGGACATATTTTGTTTGTATTGTAACATTATATTTATTTAATAACTAGTTGTGTACCTGTGCAATGCGGCGGGAGGCATGAATTTTAACCATTTTGAAGTTTCACTGGTTTTATAAGATAAGATTTAACGATGATATATGTTACACTTAGTCTTTACATATTAATACAAATTGAATAAATAAGAGTTATGGTTCCAATTACAGATATCGATGAAAAAATTGTATGACAACTTAAAATCTAATATATTTAAACGACTCCACAAATGTGTTCGATTTACACCAAGAGCAAAGAACCAAGAAACTTGAGTTTTAAGATAAACACTCAAAACCAATAAAGAAAACTACAAATTTAACAGATAATAAGCTATGAAAAGACAAAAAAAGATGAGTTTTAGAATGAAATTTCAACTGTTTACCCTATTTCTTGTCCAGAAACTTAGATTAAGGTTGAATTAATACATGTGTATATATATATATATATATATATATTTCAAAAAAACCTAAGAACATATTAATTCAGAACATATTATATAGTGCAATTTGGGCAGCCTAACCCCAAAATATATAGTATATATATATATATATATATAAATAACTATAATATAAATCGTAAATATTAAAAATATTTTTTCACAGTATATATAATATATAATAATATAATTAAGTAAAAAATTATTCAATATTGGACTCATTTCGAATGTATTAAAGAGACGATTATAATGGTGTAACTTGTTAAAATAAAAATGTATTTTTTAAACATGTTTTAATTGATATACGATTATGTATATTAATTCGATAAAGGTTTAAAATGAAACATTTAAAAGTAAAGAACGTAAAGTAAATTAATTAACTAATCATAGAAGTATAAAGTGTAAATTTAAAATTATAATTTAAAAAAAATCGGTTGTTAGAGTGTGAGTGCATGTGAGGAGATGAGGGGGTGAAAAGCTGAAAAAGTATATAAAGGGTATTTTGGTCATTTAGTATTTTAAGACTTGAGCCATCAGTGAGATACCACTCTGGAAGAGCTAGAATTCTAACCTTGTGTCAGGACGTACGGGCCAAGGGACAGTCTCAGGTAGACAGTTTCTATGGGGCGCTGGCTTTACGCAATCGATCGGATTATATAGATATCCCTTTTTCCATTAACATAAAAAAAAGCATATTATTTTTTTAAGACTTTTGCTAAATTTGTTTTATAAGATAGTATAAATATAGATAAAATATTGAATTTTTTATCCTATTTATTATTATAGTATTTTTTTATATTATATTTGTATTATATCAACAACTATATTTTTGTAATTTATTATATTTTTTTATTAAAAAATATTATTATATAAAATTACATTACAGTTCTTCTAACTGATTGAATAGCAGAAAATGAACACTGAGATGTAACTTATAATTTTAATTATAACAATATTACTCAATCAGCTAAATCAAACACTGGCTTGAAATAAAACCGACCCACAAAAACATAGCCAAACCAGAGTCGTATATATTCCAATAACGCCGTTTCACCAACTTCATCGACTTTCTGGCACCGGGCAGGCGTCGCTACGTCAGCTTCCTTCTCTGAGCTTACGTTGCGGAAGAAGGAGAAGAATGACTAGACCAGTTAGGTCAAAACTGAAAGAAAAGAGACTGAAATGCAACTGTAGAACTGAAAAATCAAACTGATGAAGTATTTGAGTGAATGAGGAGACAAAGGACAATTATGACAAGGAACAGATTACATAAGTATGTAAAGAAGATAGAACAGTAATGAATGAATAAAGGTGATTATCAGATTACAGGTCCTCGTAAAACCGATCTGTTGTTTCAAAACTACCAACTGTAAATGCTCACAACCAAATTTGAAAAGAACAACAAACCAAAATCTACCAAACTTTGACCAACGAGTCAAAAGTAAAAAGCAGAAAGAGGTGGCTTACAAACCATCGATCAAAGGCGATTTGTCATAAATTAGAACTCCCAAAGTTGTTTTTTTGTTTTACGAGTTTCAGTTGTTTTATTAATCATTATAATACAGTATCGTTATAAATCAGTGACTTTTTGTCTTATGAGCCTCTATGATGGTGACGGATTAGGCATCTATACGCATATTTGAATTACCAATCATTTATTCTAACAAAAAGAAAATTCCGACTTTTCTTAATCCAACCTACGTCTTTAAAAAACGTCTCATAAAAATAAAGGTTTCCAAATTTAGAATAAAGTTACACATACCTAACAATATATAGTATTTTATCGGTTTTTAACCTGTAGAATAAATTACGTTTTTCGCCCATGTAGTTTGTTGCTATTTTCGTCTCTGTACTTTTAATATTACGATTTTCATCCCTGCAACTTGCAACTTCTTGTTGTTTTTGTCTTTATAATTTACAATTTATTGTTGTGTATGTTCTTGTGGTTTACAAGTTATTGTTGTTTTTGCCTCTCATATAGTCATACTTAAAGATAGGACTTAACCTCAGTAGAGATGCAAAAGGTTCGGGATTTTCAGTCCTAGACCCGGTCCTTCTAATCCCGTTTTCAGTGAACAATAAAAGGTTCGGGATTTCTTAGGCTCGGGACTTGGGGTTGAAAAGAGCATGATCGGGGGTTTTTAGGTCGGGC